AAGGATCTGATAGAAGAGATGGAAGATCACATTGACCAGAGAATACAAATCTCAGTGTGAGGATGAGAGAGTAAGTGCCTGCTTGGGTCAGCACATGGCCCTCAGGGATCACAGGCTGAGAGGAGCCTGCTTGTCACATTGGAGCTTCCCAAACTTTGCACATCTTATGTCCATAAAAGATGTCAGACTCTAGAACCACCCCCCTCCCCAAGAGACCTAAAATTCTCTAGATGGCCTTTCTTTAGGCAGCCAACCTGATGGACTTGGAAGACTGCTGACTAGGATTCTCTAGCTGAGTGGTGAGTTTGCACTTCTCTTGGCAGCGTCTTTGTTGTGTACCCAGGAAGGTTTGCCGTTCTTAAGTGATTAGAGTTTAATATATATATATATTAATTTTTTGGGGGTCTTTTTGAAACAGGGTCTCCCTGTAGCCCCAGCTGTCCTGGAACTCACTATGTAGACCAGGCTGGCCTTGAACTCACAGAGATCCGCCTGCCTTGCACCATTATTATTTTTATTTTATGTGTATGTGTGTATTACCTGCATGTAGGTAAGTGCACCCATGTCGTGCAATGCCCACGGAGGTCAGAAGAGGCTGTTGGATCCCCTGTGACTGGAGTTATGGACAGACGTTAGCTGCCATGTGGGTGCTGGGATTTGAACCCAGGTCTTCTGCAAGAACAGTCAGTGTTCTTAACTGCTGAGCCATCTCTCCAGCCCCGAGTTTAATATTTTTAAAAGCTTATTATTCATGAAACACTGTTTACTTAGATGCTTGGATTAAAGCACACATATGGGACATATAGGTATAATAATACAGAGCATTTGAATAAAGAGGACAAAAGTTCCTTCCCAGGATCACCTGCAGATAGTTCTTCTGCTCTGGAGTGGTCTTTAGTGCCCTCTGTTGGCTGTTTACTCTAAGGCAGCATCTTGATTCTTGAAAAGTTGCTTGCAGCTTTCTTTACCAAAAGGAGAAAAATGAGAGATTTAAAAATTACGATCCCCAGGACACCATGGTAGGAGACAATTAACTCCTGAAAGTAGTCCTCTGATTTCGCTTGCATACTGGTGTATACACACACAAATAAATATAAAAAGTTGTGATAAAATTTTGCGAGAGCTTTTAAAATATCCTTGTGAGTCCTCAGGTTTTGATAGATCTTCAGAAATGTCTTTGTCACATTTTGTTTGATATACCATGTATATAGTATCTAGACTATGTTTTCAGAAAGTGAACATTTCTAATGAGCACAGGTCAGGATGGCGTTGGAGCATTTTTCAAGCAGCAAAGCCTTACAAATAGGAGCTGCCCTGGTAGGCAAGAGCAGCCGCTACATGTGTTGGTCAAGCAAGAAAATTACTATTGCTTGCTAAAGGATGTGGGAAATTGCAATCAGGAAAGTCAGCCTATGAAGCACATTGTCGACTGGACATAATTAGGCATCTTCAGAGGGGGCTGGTTTGCTTTTTTTTTTTTTTCCCCTCCTCACTAAGCAACAAAGAAGCTATCTTTGGATTCTGTCCTCAAAGGAAAAGGGGTGAGATTAGATTTAGTGTTTTGAATGACTAGGGATCTAAGCCTGAATAGATTTTAGTACACATGCACCTGGTGCTAGTTTGAGCTCTAAAGGAAACTATGCTTTGTGTAAATAAATGCTCACTGTGACTTTTCTATGATAAATGAAATCTATTTATCTTTCCAGAGCAGAACTATTTTCATTATTTCCCAATGAATCCCCCTACTTATAGAATTGTAATCTTTCTAATAATGGTTTCTTCCAGCTGCATTTTAAAACACGTTCATCCACCTCTTCAAGTTAGAAATGCTACTTTTCGCTTCAGTGTATAGTGAAATGGTATAGATTGTCTGCAACCAACTTAGAGAAATTATTTATTGGCTTTTGGTATATTTTACTGTTGTGGTGTTTTCTGATAAAGTTTAGTAATCATTAATACAAAGCAATGCTAGCTGCTTCCTGTATGTTTCACAAGGGAAATAAGCTATTTTGTAGTTTCCTTCCCCCATCCCAATAAAAAAGCCCTCCATCAAAAACTGACATCCTAAATGAAGGACATAATTGTATAGCTTATTTATTAGTGTGTCAAACTTAAAATGTAATAGTTTCATATTTCAGAATGAAAGCGTGTCATGATTCATGGTTGCTGGTAACAAAGTGGACAGCTATTTCATATTGCTGCCTGATTGCCTGCGGATACACACTGCACTTTCTGAGTCTTTCTACTCTTCCTCTACAACAGCTCCCTCTACTTGAAAACACTGGTGTAATTATGATTTAATGCTACATACTTTATTAGTAAGGTCTCTTGGCAAAACAAATTTTTAGTTCTAATTTGCTTCCTGAATATGTGGTGCTAAATATTAGACTGTGCCAGACAATTACCATGGTCTCCTTATCTGAAATACAGGTAGGGTCAGTTCAGAAAAGCAAGAGGAGTTATGATTGAAAGCATTTTTCAGAGAATGACCCGTGTAGCCTTTTTGGATTTAAATGTGCATGTTTGTTACAGTTCTGTGCAATACTTTGAAAAGGAGCACTGCAATCTAGAATACAGAGGTCTAGAAAACTGAAGCAGCAATCTTCAAAAGACCCAGGAACCACTTCAGACAAATAGCAGCTTGCATTTTAGCAGATTCCCCCTTTGCTAATTCCCAAGTGTCACAGTTCTAATGCAAGGTCTTTCCTTTAGTTCCTCTCTGTTCCCTCAGAAAGGGTTTAATAGAAGTTAGCAGTAGAACCTCCTGCGCCTCCCTCTTTGTAGAACCACATGTGCATTGTGAAAGAATATAGACAAGCCAGAGTGAATGTGCTGTGATTGGGAGTTAATGAGGTTCTCTCCCTTACTGAGTTTCAGGGTAGTGATGGTGCCACATCACATGCTTGTACCATAAGACAAACCATCCTGCTACGCAGCCATGAGATTTTTACCAGATTGTGGCTCCCTTCTTCATTCAGAGTTCATCCTTTCCAGTTCCTCCTGACTGTCACTGTGATGCAGAGCTTAGTGGTCAAGAGGAGGGACTGCCTGGATAAAACCTGGCTCTGCCCCTAAATGGCTTGTGGGTCTAGTTTCCTTAACTTTCTCAGTATCCGTTTTTATCAGACAGTAAGCAATCCAGACAGTAAGCTGGGTGTGCTGACTTACACAGCCCTCAGAAAACTGAGGCAGGAAGATTACTATGAGTTCAAGGACAGCCTGGTCTACAAGAGTAGGTTCTCGGCTTGCTGGGCTACAGAGTAAGACCTTGCCAAAAAAAAAAAAAAATCATAACAGCACATAAAGTAGGCAGAAACTATACCTGTATTCTGGAATTGTAACAGATAAATTAGCAGTTGTCAAGCCACGCACATAGTAAGAGCAATGTGTCAGTTGGTTGAATGAAATAAAAAATATAGTGGAGTAATAAATTGCTATTTCTCAAACAAATGTATTGAAATATCAGTGCTATCTTCAGATTTTAATAAAAAGAAATATGGGGTTCTCCTACTACGAGAGAGAGAGAGAGAGAGAGAGAGAGAGAGAGAGAGAGACAGGCATATTGGTTTGCTTATGCATTCACTTTCTGTGTATTAGAAAATTCTAAATATTTTAATTTTTGTTTTATGTATATGAGGGTATTGTCCGCAGGTATGTAAGTACACCCATGTCGTGCAGTGCCTGCAGTGGTCAGAAGAGAGTGTTAGATCCTCTGGAACTGGAGTTATAGACAATTGTTAGCCGCCATGTGGGTGCTAGGAATCGAACCCAGGTCTTCTGCAAGAGCAGCCAGTGCTCTTAGCTGCTGAGCCATCTCCCCAGCCCCTGTATTGGAAACATTCTGACCTAACCATTTCATAATTTTTGTTATGTTTTAATTATTTAATTATTTATCTATTTGTTTATTTATTTAGGCATTTTTGAGACTGGGTTTCCCTGTAGCCCCAGCTAGCCTGGAACTCACTACGTAGACCAGGCTGGCCTGGAACTCACAGAGATCTGCCTGCCTTTGCCTCCCAAGTGCTGGGATTAAAGGCATGTGCCACCATGCCCAGCTTTGGTTATATTATTTTAAAATATGCACTGTAAGCACATACCTGTATGTATTGCTGGTGATTGAATGCAATTGAATACAAGGTTTCCCTCATGCCAGGCAAGTAGTTTATCATTATATCCCCAGCCTTAAATATACTTTTAAAGAAATTATTTGTGTGTGTATGTGTGTGTGTGTGTGTGTGTGTGTGTGTGTACGTGTATGCACGTGTATGCATGCCCACAGAAGATAGATGCAAGCTCCTGTGTATGCTGCAGAGGCCAGAAGAGGGTGTCAGGTGCTATCCTCTATTACTCTGTGCCTAGGGCTCCTACTTTCTCCAGTAGGCTAGAAGCCAGCAAGCCTGAGAATCTACCTGTCTCTGCCCCCTTTGGAGCTGGGGTTATAGGCATTTGCAGCAACATCTAATTTGTCATGTGGGTGATGAGATTCAAGCTCTCGGCCATCTCTCTAGCTCATAGAATATTCTATGATTTCTGTCCTTTTTCCTGAGCTTAAGTGGTTTCATAAAAGGATTGCTATACTGGGTGCAGCTGAGCAATGGACCACATTATGCCGCTCTTAAAGCCTATGTATGGACCAAGAGGGGGCCTAGATGGACTACATATGAGCATGCTTGAGAATGCCAGAGAGTCCTGCCTAACTCTCCCAGACCTTGTGTTGTCCAATAAAATGGTAGTCACCAGAGTCTAAAAAACAAATTATATGTATTGAGCACTCAGACATTCAGTTAAAATTGTTTAATTTGTATCTTCACCTTCATATAAGCTGATATTTGAAGATGTATAGGTGATCATTTATTCTGACTGCTGTAAAAGAATGTCATTAGAATGCTGGACACATGAAGCAAACAGATCAGTTTCATTAAACACAAGCTGTCTTATGCCTGCATCTTTATTTTCAAGGGGCTGATTCCTCTTTCTTTTCACTTAATTCTTAGGACCCCTTGGATCCAACAAGGTCAGTGATTGTGATTCGCTCCCTGGTAGCAGATAGTGTAGCAGAAAGAAGTGGGGAACTTTTACCTGGAGACCGCCTGGTCTCAGTCAATGAGTACTCTCTGGACAATTCCACACTTGCTGAGGCTGTGGAAATTTTGAAGGCTGTGCCCCCAGGCACCGTGCACCTTGGCATCTGTAAACCTTTGGTGGTAAGTATTGAACTCTCTTAATATAGGCGGTGATAACGGTATAATAGTTATGTTGTTCTGTGTTTAGTTTGTGTGCTATGTATCTGAAACAGGTAACTTGGTTGTGGTAAATTGCTGGACTGGGTTTCAGGTAGCATGTTTCTAGTTTTGCTTAGAATTAACCCAGTGGGTTTCAAATGTAAAAGATACATATGCTACACAAGAGCCCCTGGGAGAGGGTTAAAATGGAACTCGCTAGGTTCTACTCACAGGGATGCCAAGTTAGTAGTTCAGGGGTCTCCCTCCTCAGTGGGTCGCCCATGTAATTCTGATGCAGAATTTTGCACTTTCAGAAACATTGTGCTAGTTATTTGATCACGTATACCAATTTTTCTTCTCTGAACACTTTTTAAAAATTTTTTGAGAAGAATAAGCAAGACTAGAGAACTAATGCCTTTCTCAATGCTACACTTCTTTTAATGTTTGTAAAGTATTAGCTTGCTGCATGAGTAGCAGCTCACACATCTAGCTGGCTGTTGATAGACCTGTTCATATGTCAGTGTACATAGAGAGTGACGCGTTGCACTTAGGGGTTTTTAGTACCCACATAATGTGCTTCCTGTGCTGCTTCTGCTGGAGCGGAGATCCTGGAACACTGCTCAGGGAGGGATTGAAGCAAAACCACTGTGAGCTGAATCTTTGCTCAGGAGTGTTCCCTCAAAAGTACGAGGCTGCCAGGATAGTTAGGGATGGGAAAGGTAGAGTTCAAGACTTTCTTTAGGTGGCTGGGGATGTTGCTCAGTTGGTAGACTGTTTATAATTCCTGGTTGAGGCAGTAGGATCAGAAGTTCAAAGCGATTCTTGGCTATGCATTCAAGTTAGCCTGGGCTAGAGACCCTGTCTCCAAAACAAAATCAACCAACCAACCAACCAACCAACCAAAGATAGATTTAGCTCCTACCTCAGCAGCTCAGTCTTTTAAAAAACTGTTCATGAGTTATAAATAGTGATTCAAAGAAACGGGCCTGGATCTTGACTGAGGTCTCCATCTCTGTCGTTTTCTGTTGAGATATGCAGTTGGTAGCTGCATATCTAATCAACTAGTGTTTACTGAGCATTCAGTAAGTTCATAGAAGTGGGGAGAGGATATGACTCAAGAGCCAAAGTCAGGTTGGGGCAAAAAGTTGCACATATTTAACAATTATGAGAACAAAATTATTTCTATAGTATTAAGATATATAATACCTATACTCATATAATTTACAGTTATGTGTTTTCAACTTGTCCATGAATGTGATTTATCTTTTTTTAAAAAAAATATTTTATTTTTGTGTGTGTACGATTGTATTGTCTACATGTATGTGAGTGCACCCATGTCGTGCAATGCCATGGAGGTCAGAAGAGGGTTTTGGATCCCCTGGAACTGGAATTAAGGGCAGTTCTTAGCCGCCATGTGGGTACTGGGAATTGAACCCAGGTCCTCTGCAAGAGCAGTCAGTGCTCTTAACCACTGAGCCATCTCTCCAGCCCCTGTCTTTTCTTTTCTATAAACTTACCACAAACATACTGGGTCTAAGACACCAAATAAACTTAACTTGAAAAATTATATGTCTTTAGCCCTATGTGGACAGAACTGGCACTGGAACCCTTGACCATATGGATGTGGATGTTGCTTACTTCTGTGGTCTCAAGGCTATACATCCCCAGGCCTTTTAACCTTAACACCCACCTTGTTGCTCTGTAAGATGGTGATTGCATGGAGTGGTAATTGAGAACACAGGCTCTCAAGCAGATGGCCAGAGCTCAAATTCTGAATGTGTAACTGGCAAGTTACTGGCACTGGCAAATGTGTGAGCCTCCTTACTCATCAGGAAGCTGGGGTCGGCAAGAACACCAACTTCCTAGAGTGTTTGTTAATAACTAGTCTGTTAAGTGTGCTTAAAGTACACAAATGTGTGCTTGGTGCATAAATAGCCATACAGATGAACATACAACATCTTTTCCTCGGTGAATAATTGTTCTTTTTTACAAATATTTTATTTATTATTTTTATTTTATATGTATGCATGTATTGCCTGCCTGTAGGTAAGTGCACCCCAGTCATGCAATGGCCACAGGACAGAAGAGGCTGTTGGATCCCCTGGAACTGGAGTTATAGACAGTTGTTAGCTGCCATGTGGGGCTGGGATTTGAACCTGGGTCTTCTGCAAGAACAACCAGTGTTCTTAACCACTGAGCCATCTCTCCAGCCCCCATGAATGCTTGTTCTTTAAGGAGTACTTAAAGTACTCCTGGCCTAAAATTAGCTTTCTTTTTGATTATGGATACAAGTTTGCTCTGTTTATAAATTTACATAAACTTTGTTGTATGCTTACACTAGATGAACTTATTCTGAAGAGTGGTTAAAACTAAAGGATTTTCTTACTCATAAAAGTGGTTTTTATTTTCAGGAAGATGAAAAAGAAGAAGGTTATATTTTACATTCAAACAACAATGAAGACAATACTGAACTTTCAGGAACAATTAATGATATAAATTCATCTTTAATACTAGAGGCACCCAAGGTATTTAGTAATTTCCCATTTGAATGATTTACTGTGAACTTAAGTTTCTGTAAAGACACAAGCTTGTCCCTACTCCTTCTGCTAAGTAGTTAGAAATTAAATAACTCCGTCCCTCCCTCCCTCTCTTCCTCTTCCCATCCAGCCACTCTCCTCGGCCTCACTAGGTAGCTCTGGCTGACTGAGAACTCTTAGTTCTGCTTCAGCCTCTGAGTGCTGGGATCACAGTTCTCCATCAGCTTCCTTCTCTTTAATTGTTTTTTTTTTTTTTTTAAATGAAATCTTTTTTGTTGTTGTTATTCTGTATTATATTGTCTCTTTAGATAACAAAAACTATAAGATATTTTCAGAGATCAGATGGGGGAGGGGCTGGCAAGATGGCTCAGGAAGTACAGATAGTTACTGCTAAACCTGACCTGAGTCCAGTCCTGAAAGAGAGAACTGACTCCCACAAGTTGTCCTCTGACCTCCACACGTCTTGAGGCACAATCCTACAAATACATACATACATACATACATACATACATACATACATAAATAAGTAAAGTATAAGCAATTTTTTAAAAAAGAACAAGCATACTTTATTTTTTAGCATTAATGAAATCCTAAAATTTGGAAGGATAGAACATATTGTTGAAAACATCTGTATTTAAAATGTAGAGCTAAACAAGCAATTTCATGTTGAATACTTTCTTTTCTTGTCTTTTTGAGACAGGATCTCCCTGTAGCCCTAGCTGGCCTGGAACTTGCTATGTAGACCAGATTGGCTTCCATCTCATTGAAATCTGCCTGCCTTTGCCTCTGCCTCCCCAGTGCTGGGGTTAAAGGCATGTGCTACCACGCTGGGCTCGTGTTGAATACTTTCTAGAGAAGGTTACCTACTCAAACCCCTTTACTGGGATTGTAGGAAGTGCATATTGAGGTTTTCCTTTTTATTCTCAGGTGTGCTTTATTTTTTGTTTTACTTGATAAATGTCTAGTGACATTCCTGGCATGTATGTTGGCAGTATCTCCTGCTGATCAGCATTCCCATAATGTCTGTCTACATTTTTTTTAGTGTAGACATTTTGTGTGAAAGTCTCATAATCATGATATTTTCAAATGTATCTTTTGACTATGATTGTACTTTGAACCAGGTTGCAGTATTTGATATACTATATCAATTTCAATCAAAGCCTCACCATATGGTGTTATGAGGAGAAAGCAGAGGGAAAGAGCAGGTTGATTCTAGGAGTTTACACTTGGTGGCACTTAATGGGTGGGGCTTAAAATAGGAAGTAGCATTGGTTTCCTGGAGGGAATTAGTTTTCTGTGCTCAGCACCCAGGGAATCACCAGCATTATCACAAGTTCAGCAATAAACATATGATGTTCATTCTGCTTTATCATATTTTCAATGTAGGTGAAATTTTCATTTCTGTTATATGACATATTAAAAGAGAATCATAATCAAAGTAGTTGAGACTTACTGGCTCTGTCTTTAACTTGTGAAGAATATTTTTTGAGGGCTAGAGATATAGGTCAGCAGTAGACTGCTTGCCTGACATGAGCAAGGCCCTGGGTTCAATCCTCCATCCTACAGAAAAGAACAAAAGAGTATGTTTTGAGCATTCAAATAGTGATGATTTCTTTTGAGGTAGTTAGGCTTGACCATTCAGACCTTGTAGCTCCTTGCTGTCTTAAGTATGAAGTGAGTATATTTATGAACTACTTTTTGTGTTAGAGACATGGGTTAAATATTTAGTACAGCAATTTAACTAAATGCCCATTGGTGATGAAGAATTTTCAGGTGGTTAATGTATAATGGACCTTTCAGAGTGGTTGTTCACCTTGCCTGTGGCAGGCTTCTGCCCTGTTTCTGTGCTCTGAACTGTGTAAGTTTCTCCTTGTCGGTGAAGGAGAAAGACAACTGGCTCTGTCAGCCGGCATCGGTGGTGTAGTGCCCTGCAGTCAAGGCAGTGCTTTTTTCTGGTTGGACATACAGTACAGCTTTAAGACAAGCATAGTTTAATTTTTTTTTTAAACTTTTATTTACAGGGATTTAGAGATGAACCATATTTTAAAGAACATGTGGATGAACCATTTCTAGATCTGGGGAAGTCTATCCAATTCCAACAAAAAGAAATAGATACCAGCAAGGAGGCCTGGGAAATGCATGAGTTCTTTAATCCTCAACTGGAGGAAATGGCTGAAGAGAGAGAAATGCTTGTTGATGAGGAATGCGAGCTCTATGGAGATCACCTTCAGTCCCTGGAGCCATACCCCTCGCACATTCAGGAGATGACCTCTGTGCCCCCAAGCCAGGAGATCCATTTTGGCACACAGTGGTGGCATGATAACCTCTCAGAAGGTGAAGCCCCTGAGTCTCCTGAGGCCGGGTCTATGAGCGGTGTCTATACCCAGGAGATGCCACAGTATGACTATAGCACCGAAAGCATGGTAAGTCTTGGCACCCAGCCTCCACCTCTTCCCCTCTGCCCCCTGCCTGCCACCTACCCTGACCCATGTGACTTCCAAAGATAAGACAAAAATGTAACAGGCTCTCCCCAGTTAGGATGATTACCAGATGCTCTGCAGGGTGCATAACTTGAGGCACAAGGTCGTCTTTTTATACCACACGGCTTCTCAGAAATCCGTGCCTGCCTTGCTGATGTAGTAGGTTTTTGCTATGCTGTTTTTGTGTGACGTTTCTCTTCTAATTTCTCAGTCCAGAAAAGAGTTCCTTTAAAACTTAACGATTTTCTTTTAAATTCCCTGAGAGAAATGTGGCTGTATATTTCTCACGTAGTATATTTGTCAGGGCAAGTCAAGGCAAAATGAATGCAAAAATATCTTGGCCATTCACAGCATTCTCCCTGTTGTGTGTCATACAATGGTAGCGAGTGCCAGGTACATTTGAGATGCTGCCTATTTATAACTTGGCAGGAAAGCATTATAATTTAATAGGCTTGCCCTTGCTAGTAAATCACCAGTAAACTTAAAAAAAAATTATAGTTAACTAGTCACCTGTTGAAATCTTTCATTAGTAACATTTTTTTTTCATTAGTAACATGGTTTAATGTTTTATTTTTGTTGATTTACTTCCTGACCAGAATTAATTTTCAGACAAATGAGAAGAAAGTTACTGTAGAGGGTGTTTTTCAAAAGGCACTTGGCAGTGTGTTTGCACACAGGCCACTGTTTCCTGTGCTAAGGCTGCTCTTCCTGTGGGATGAGCACAGTAGGCAGAAGCAGGGGGATCTTCGCTTGCATCCCTTGCACATTTTGTTTTTTCCCCTCCGGTAACTCTCAAGGGTCCCTCTGCTGGGCACAGTTTTGTGCTCTCTGCATTGACAAGGGCTCTGGGAAGCCTACCAGAGAACAGATGTTTTTGGAATTTGTGAGTGAACTTGGACGTGGGAAGCGGTGACCCAGCATTGCCTGGCATGCTCCAGTGGCGGGAGCACTCTGTCTTTGCCAGCCCTCTCCTGTATCTAAGCACTCAGCCCCAGATAGAACGTTTGCTCACATGAGCACACTGGAATCAGAGATTATTGAATGGACACACCCTCTCATTATGGCTGCTTTTTGCCATGAAAAGAAGATTTTCCATTCACTTAAATAAAAGACAACCTGAAATATCGGTCCATTTTACTATATAAACATTCACAGCTAGAGATGAAATGGACAAATGTATATTTGTAATACTTATTCAGTATGTTTATTTAGACATTCACATTTTAAGACCCATGTCTGGTTAGATTTTTTTTTTTTGCCTATACTTGCATTTAATTGTAATTTCATTCAAATAATTTCAATGTATATTTAGTATCTGTGCTCACAATAATCACTTTTTGTTCTTTTGATGGTTTTCCAAGTAAATCTTCTTCATTTCCATGTAGGTTTTTTAGAGCAGTTTTTGAATTCCTATTTGTTCTAGTTTGATTTCTGTTGCTGTGGTAAATACTCTAACCAAAGTCAAGCTAGAGGAGGGAAGGGTTTATGTCAGCATACAATTCTAGATCATAATACATCACTAAGGAAAGAATGCAGGGCAGGAACTCAGGCAGGACCTGAAGCAGAAACCCCAGAGGAGTGCTGCTTACTGGCTTGCGTCTGGCTCCTGGTAGCTTTGTTATACAGCCCAGGGCCAGCTACCTAGGAACGGTGGTGCCTGCCCACAGTGGGCTGGGTCCTCTTAACACCAATCATAAAGCAAGACAGTCTCTTGGATATGGCCACAAGCCAGTCTGATTTTTGAGTGAGATTTCCTCTTCCCAAATGACTCTAGATTGTGTCAAGTTGACAATAAAAATTAACTGTCACTCAAAATTTTATCCTTATCTCAAGCATTCATTTGCATAACAGAGTTTGTTCTAAATCCCTTCTCTCAGCTTCTATTTGTTCTTTTCACAGTTTAACACCACTTTGTTTGGTAAAGTACTTTTCTTTAAGGCACTTATCAGCACTTGCAGTTTGAAAGGCAGTCATCCTAATTTCTAAGTCTGTATACAAATTGCCCAATTTCCTTATTTTAATTTTCATTACTTCAGTCATTCTTGCTTATTATGACCATTTTCTTGTATGAAAAGAATAACTTAGACCATCAAATAAAAATTAGCCTGAAATACTGGTCCATTTTCACACATAAACTGTTAAGGCTATAGATTAAAATAGTCAAGTATATATTCACAACATTTTATATATTTAACCATTCATATTTTAAAATCTGTAAAATGTTAAAAAAAATTTGCCTATTCTCACATTTAATTATAGAATTTAAGGTTATAGGGCATATTGATTAAGATGGTTTCAGGGTTAATGTATTTTCTCCAAACACCACTTGATTGTCTTCAGATAGTTACATT